CTTAACGCTTTTGATATTTCTTACTAGTAAGATACTTACAGGAATATTAGCTGTGTTAGAAGCGCAAAAAGTATATTGTATTGAATGGCTTTACTTATCCCATCCCAAAATGTTTTATCTTTTATCCAGGCTGTTGCTGAAATAACCTTAGGACACAATCAAGCTTGTCCTTGAAATGGGACTGATTTAATTAATATTGTTATTCCTATCCCAAAATTTGATTTTCAATTTTATTTTCAGAATAACTTATCTCTTCTGCTGCTATTTTAGCTTTCCACACCTTTTCTCAACAGATTTTTAACTTAATCTCTTATTCTCATTATGTGTGCCAACTTATTTTTAATCTTACAGGTGCTTACATCATGCCCAGGATCGACCCCAATCTTATGGCTTTGTTTTTAACTTTACAGCAGCTATCCTTTGTTTCTCACATATGTATCGGTCCTTTAAGGACTGCCTTCATAAACAAATAAAAAAGGAGGGATCAAGGGTACCTAATTTGGCATGGATAAATCATCAAGTCAATAAAGTCCTAATAACTTTAAATCAGCTAAATATTTCTTTTCAAAAAACTACTGCCTACCAGTGTCACTTTCAGCAGAAAGCTGTGCTCCCTAATCCATTGGTATGTTATCAGCAATTGGTTAGATCCAATTCCCTTACTAACTTGGGGGCGAGGCTATGCTTGCTCTGCTTGCTCCTACAGGCCCTCTCTGGATTCCAGCCCAGTGTGTGCAACCAGCCAAAGATGTCATGGCATCAAGTCCAGAACTCAATACTAGAAATGAAGCAGGTGACTCTTCAGACAGCACAACGTCCCTTTTGCTCTCGCCATCGCAGCTGACCAACAACCTGGGACGATGTGAAAAACCTAATCTTCAAAGCACAGATGGTTCTGTGGCAACAGGGAAAAGAACTTACACCAGAGAATTTATGCGCTGCCATATTTGTGGTTTTGACTGCAAATTCCTTAGTCATTCTTTGCCTCTCTTTCCTTCTTAATTGCTGTGTGGGGGCTCAAGCTCTCCCACTCATCCTTTAGAATCACGGATGAAATATAATATTTGGGTGCAATTAGCTAATATCACAAAAGTGACAGACCTTTGTATTTCTGAATCATATGATATGGAAAATCTACTCTCTACCTGTCTTATACCTTTGTGTGTTCCAGCTTCAATTTTTTTTTAAAAAATTATACTGGTTTAAGCAATTTTTTATCAGACAATGAATTTCATTATGCAACTATGTCATGTTAGGGTCATGCTCTTACATGTTAACCCTTGATGCTATTGTTTTACATACACCAATTGTAGCTGTTCCTACAAATCTTACTTATGAAAAAATTGTCAATTGTACTACTTCATCTAAAAAACCTCATTGTATACATGTCAGTCAAAGAATTTTAAATTGTACCTCCTTTCAAGAGATATCTTTTAATTATGCACATATATGGTTATTCAATGTCTTTTTTTCCCTCTACTTTCAATTTTTCACACTAAACTACCATTAACTTACCTCAAGAACAAGTTATGCTTTGTATAAACAAGTGCAAAGTTATATGTCTCCTGACTAAGACCCACTAACTACTCCACTTAGAATAATGTCCTCATTAATAAAATAGAGAAAAGTGAGATGTGGGGGAATTTGCACGCGCAGCAAACTGCCATGCTTCCCCCCCCCCCACAAACCTCATAACCTTTTGATACCCTTTGTCCCAAGGAAGCAGCCAAAAGATCACCCCCTTTTGATTTAATATCTTATCTACCTAAACAGATATGCTTAGTTCCTTCCCTTATCTTTTCCCATCTTTATCTCTTCCTGTCTTTCATCTACCCGTATTTGTCTTTACCTGATCTCTGACCATGTAATATGTTACTAGAAAATAATTGCTTATATGAAGGAATTTTTCAATTACTTTATGTCAACAGCTAAAGGTTAAACTTCTAAATGTAAAACGTCAGCAGTTAATGGCAAAGCCTACGTATGTAAAAAGTATATAAGAAGGAATAAACTCAAGAGTTTGTCAAGCTGTGTCCTGCTGCTTCAAACCTCTGCTCAAGAAATGCCTGCGTCTTTTTCTTAGCATCCTACAGTTCCTCTAATATTTTCCTTATGGGGGTGTACAATGGCCGTAAAGAAGCAAAAGAATTAGCCTCTTCAGAAGGAGCTGAAGGTCCAATTGGAGATGCTTTCGGGGGAATAAGTTTTACCTGATCGTAATCAGGCGGGGGGGGGGCTTGTAGTTAATTGTTGCCCTGCCGAAGCATCAGAGCCAAATTTTTCCAATGTTTGACGGCATTGATATCATCGATGTCATATCTGTACTGGAGCCCGGGGTTCAAGATGTAAAGTATGCCCTATCTTTACCCAATCTCGTAAACAGAGCGTCCTGCGCTTTGGATACCAGGGGCAATGTTCCCTACCTCCCTACCAGCTTCCTAATGTCTGCCTCAGGCGCTGTCACGCCTGACTTGTGTAACAGGAATCGAAGTACCTGTACATGTTTCTGCTGGTGTTGAGATAGATTGCAACCCATACTTACCACTGAGGGGTCCTGGAGGACGAAGGTACACCTAGGGGTCTGTTCCAGATGCTGGTAAGTATGTTGGCTGTTGCTACCCACAGGGGGGTCCCATCTGGGGTGCCAGGTGACGGAATCAGAGGCCAGTCATTGCAGAGTGCCTTTTGCAGTGTTTATTGCTTTTATACAGTTTTTCCAAGCAGCAAAAGATAAAGTAGCAACAGCATAGCAACAGCACTTTTATTGGTGGATACTCCCTTGTCAATACTTAAGAATTTACCAGCCAGGGGCAGTTTTCTGCAACATCCTGTTGGTGTGAACTAGGTGAAATCATGTATTTGAGCCGAAGCAGTGTGCTGCACACGAACTCCACATGACCTCTATCTCTACAATATTCAAAAGGGTATGAAACAAGGATGCCCCTTGTCTCCCTTGTTATTTTGGCATTGGAAATTTTAAATAGAGATATTAGGCAAGATGAGAGAATAATGGATATAAATATCAAGAAAGAAGCTTATAAATTGAGGGCATTTGCTGATGACTTGGTTATATTCCCACAGGACCCAAAAAATAAGATAGAATATATATTGAGGAAATTAAATGAGTTTGTAGTTGTAGCAGGTTTTAAAATAAATACAGAAAACAACGTTGATCAAGAATATATCCTCCCAGGATGGTAATATGGCTGGTTTTAAGGTTGAAGATAAAGGTGAAATATTTGGGGTAATGTTGACAAACACAAAGACAAAACTAAATAATTATATACCTCTTTGGAATGATATCAAAAAAGATTTACAAAGATGGGACAAACTACATTTATCATTACTTGGCAGAATTTCAGTAATTAAAACAAATGTTTTACCAAAGATGCTCTTTCTATTGGAGTAGGATTCATACATTAACGCAAAGAATTCTTAAAGTGAACATAAAGATTAAACCAGAAACTTTCCTTCCAGGCCTAATGGAAAGAGAACTGGAAAAAAAATTTGAACTCTGATTTTATATATGGTGACAACAGCAAGATTGCTCTATGCACAAAAGTGGAAGGATGCCTCAATTCCTACCATAGATGAATGGTTACAAAAGCTGATGGAATTAGCAGAGATGGCCAAATTGACTGCGTTGATAAAAGAACATAAGTACCTTTGTTTCTACTTGGAAACCGCTTCTGGACTTTGTGCTTGAGGTGGGAAAAAATGATATGATTTTGTGTTTTACTGATGAGACTGATTTGCCAATACAGAAATGGCTAGTGCATACTACTATACAAATGTAAAAAGTTGAGACTGGATTTTAATGTCTGATTTTACTGCAATAGAGTCAGAAGTCAATGCCTTTTGTTTCTTCCCCTCCCTTTCTTCACACTTTTTTTGTTTTCCCTTTCTCTACTGTTGTCCCCTACTATTTGCTTTTATATATTTACATTTTATGTTATAAATGAATAACAATAACGGAAATGAAAAATTGCTCATTGCGGCACAATTATTAATTCCCGTATGTCATTGTGTGAAACTATTGTGCATTATACTGTCCCGTCTTTGTGATTATTTGAATTCAAATGTTCAGAATGGTTGAGCTTCTACATCTTTATGCTCATTCTTATGCCTATAAAATAGGAAAGCAATTGACAAATGCAGTTACAGTATGTTAAATTGACTGAGAAATGTGCCAATGTTATAGTATTCACTAGCAAACTATATTGTCTTGTTTTTTTGTATCATGCTGAACTGTGGAGAAGGCTTGAGCTGAAGCTGAGTGTGAAAAAAACTTACAACCATGTTTACTCACCACGTTAACTCAAACTTTGTTGATTAAACGAACAGACAGCGCTGAATATACAGTACTCTGCCCCATGCAAACAAGTAGAACTAAGTAAAATATGCCAACTTACTATATCTGAAACCAAACCCCTAATCTACGGTATATTTCCCAAATAGGTTAAAACCATAAGGTAAATAACAAATTGGTCTTAACTGGTTTTAAGTTGATTTTCAATAGACTTGAAAATCTTACCTTCTCCCCAAATATTTTTGCAATGGGTGTTAAGACTGAGTTGGAATGCATCTATACTCACAAGCTAAATCTTAATTATTAATTTCTGATTGAAGAGACATAGAATTGCAATTTTCTTTACCTTTCAAACTTAAAAGAATTTGATAATTAGTCTCTTCATCAGATGCATTGAAGTGAAAGATGTAATAAAGTAACTCACAAAAGATAAGTATTTTAATAACATTTTCTGAAAAGATGCTTAGTTTGGCTTTCAAACTCTGATTTTTTTCAAATAAACTGTGGATTTAAAAATAATTTTTAATACAAACATACTTTAACTGCAGCCCTTTCAAGAAAGATTATTTAACAGACTTCTGTTTAAAAAATGAGCTACAATAAATCATTGTATACTGTTAAAGAGCATACTTTCTGAAAATATTCAATAGATTTGACAGCAGTCCTCAGTGAACAAAAAAAGGAAAGTGGCTTTTTTTTTTTTTAAAGTAGACACCATTTTTAATTTTTTTCCAAATAACAGAACAAGGCTTTCTAAGAACCTTACAATAGCAATTATTCCAATGGTACTTTCAAACATACATTTTATTGTGCAAATTGCTCTATAATAATTCATCCAAACAATTGTATAGGAAATCTTTATTGGTTTATTAAAATAATCCATTATGGCTGATTAACTCAAACATGGTGACTCCAAGTGATATATAAACAAAATAAGTTAAACTATTTCAATTAAGAACCAAGATGTTTAAGTGTAACCAGAAGCTCACATTCCAGATGGGGATTCCAGTCATGCTGGTCCCAAGATCCAAGTAAAAAGCCAAATTTTTACTGCCTTTCGGAAGGCCCATTGAGAGCAATCACTGCAGAGAGTAGGCCTTCCTGATTACATATCTACTGTAATAGGAGTAACTGGGATGGGCAGATATCACTGAGTAGAGATGGTCCCATAAACTGTCTTTTGTAAGCTTCGTCCTTATTAAAAAAACTGTTATCTTTTACCTGCAAATACCCACGAAACAACAGCACCTTTTCAAAATAGTTTAAATAGTTGAGCAATGTATCTTGTCAATTTAATACAATCTTAAGTATAGATAGAAACACTTGGAGAAAGAAATACACATGAACAGCAAAGGCCATCTGTGCAATTAAACCTTGAATAAAACTGTTGTTGTTTTTTCACAAGCAAAACTTAAAACTTGAAAAAGAGACCATGGCACATGTTCTCAAAATGCAGTATGTATAGGATTTCTGTTCTGAATGCAGAAATGGCTAAGATAAAATATAAGCTTCTTATTGACATAACTGCTAATTTTGCAAAGGCATAAATATACATTTTAAGGAAGATCTTTGAATGGAGATGTTGTACCAATTAGGAGCATTTGAATGGCAAGGATGCAAATATCTTATTTCAATTAATCAGATCTAGCACAGTATGTCTATGGAGGTACTGCTTCAGGGAAAGGAATATTCAAAGGAAATGTCTGAAAACCATAGGACTTCTAACATGTATATTCACACGAGACAGAAATATCAGTCAGTAAATTTATGCATATGTATGATTGGCTCTTTCTCAGTTAACAGGAATGTTAGCTTTGAACCACTTTTTTAAAATAGATTTTTAATTTCTATAGCTAAGGCAAGGGAGAAAAGTCAGTAATGTGCAGGGGAAATGCATGTGGCTTGATTAGAATTAAAACTTTGTTCCATTATATTCATGATGAGAATCACATGCACTCACATATAACCCCTTTCCTTCCCCACCCCAACCCCAACCCCATGTCTAGTTTATTTTTCTTCCTGATCAATTAAATACAACTTTGAAATAAACAAAAATGTGTATTTTAATTTGACTGGTTTTTGGTTTTTTTTGTTCTGTTAGTTCTGTGAAAGCAGACAATGCTTGCTTCTGACTTGAAACTCTACAGCCAAACTTTTAATTTTGGAAGAGAAACTCAAAAAGCCAAATTACAGTAATTTAAGATATTTTGTCTAACTAATACAGGTGCCTCCAAGAAAATAAATGGTTGCAAAAAATAGCTGCATTTAAAATCCTACAACAAAACTAGTGTAGTACTAAAAACATTTTTAAAAAATGCTTTGAATTTTGATAGTTTTAAGCCTTTTTCCCTGGCCCAACTGAACAAAAATAAATGTTACTTAATTTCCTGCAAGGCTAATACATGCCAACATTAAATTAACTGAAATACCATTTAAAAGAGAATTTTCTGTATCCCCTGTACAAATGACCGATTCAGCTTTTCCTATTGAATTGGAATAGACTCTGAAAATTGGCAGACAAATTCAAAGTTGTGCTGGAAAAAGGGAAAGAAAAATTAAAAAGATCTTTTGCTGACTGTTGATTCATTCCTTTAATTATACTGCTTGGTTGAACATCAGGATATACAGCTCTGAATCTCCAAAAAGGGAAAAAGGCGCATAGCTCAGAGTTTCAGAGAAATAATTGGCCAGTACTTGGGCTGTTTTGTATCACAATTCCTATCAAAGTTGAGTTGCATGATGGTCTCCATTGCTTGTATTTTGTTGGCACCTTTGCCATAGAGCTTTCTCATTTCAGCCATTCTTCTGTTGCCGGGCTTCTCAGCTGGGGGCTGCACTGACCGGCTTGTGGACAAGTGAAGGTCATGGTCAGCTTCCACATATATCTCTTGGTGTTCCGCCTCCAGCTGTTTCTGTTTCCCTATGTAAAAAAGAACACATTTTATGATTTTTTGAAAAAAAATTATGGGAATCCCAAATGATACCAGGAATGAACAACTTAGGTATGTTGTCTAAAGATGTGTATACCTTTAAAACAAGAATTCTTGTTTGTATTTTAAACCCCTAAGCAGTCCACTATAAACTGAAGTGTACTGTTACATAAAAGGAAACACTGCACCTATCTTACAAAAATGGCATTGATCATCAGCTCTTTTCTGGCCACAATTCATAGCACTTAAGTCACAAATCATTTGGATTTAAAAGACAGCCTTGTATTGTACTATCCTGCCCATTCTCCAATATTTGTGAACCCTTTTTGGCCTATGATGATCAATACCTAGTGTTATATAAAACAGCGGTAATTACAGGTAATCCCCGAGTTATGAGTGTTCACTTAGCGCTCGTTTGAAGTTACATCATAAGCGTCCCCTAGTGTTTATGAGCAAGTCCTGAAATTACTGCAGAGGCTCTGCAACATTCACCCTATTCCCCCCCCCCCGCTCCTCACAATTGCTTCTCCCTCCCTTCCTACCATGCTGGACTCACTTACCTTGCAAAAATCTATCTCCTGTCTGCTGCGGTTTCTTTGCCTTTGAGGGAGACTCAATGGAAGCTCCTGAGTGCCGTAATATTGTGTGAGTTCAGGCACCATCTTTTGCAGAGAATGGGTGCCTGAACTCTCGCAAGATCACAGACCCCAGAAAATTTCATTCTCGGCACGAAAAGTGTTTGCGGTGCCTGTCTCCTGCTCCTCCTCCCCAACTCTTTTCTGCCACCACCGGAAAACAGTTTGCCCAGATGGAGACCTAATGGAGACTGGAAGCTTCATCTGCATGCAAATGGAGCACTTGGAATTGAAGCAAATTGCTCTGTTTCCAAGCACCTCATTTGCAGACGAAACTTCCAGTTTCCATCAGCTCTCCGTTCAGGCGAAAATTGTTCCAGTGGTGGCGGAAAGGAGTTGGGGGCAAGGAGCAGGAGACAGGCACAGCAAACACTTTTTGTGCCCAGGAGCTTTCATCGACTCTCCTCTACCTCAAAGGCAAAGAAACAGCGGCAGAGAAGAGACAGATCTTTGCAAGGTAAGTGAGTCCAGCACGGCAGGAAGGGAGGGGGAAGCATGAGGTATCTTAATGGGTTGGGGAGGCCTTGGGGTCTGTTCCATCACTAGGCCCCCCATGGCCTTCTCCACCCTGAAATACCTCATGTGCACTTAATGAACTGCACATTTGATTAGTGAATGTGTGGGCGAAAGCAGGGAGTGATCTCGTTCAAGGTACGAGATTCAGTCCTATGAATTTTTGAGTGACGAATGGAATGGGCAGGCTTCATTACATTCGTAACTTGAGTACTACTTGTATATATAAATGGGGGGGGGGAATGAGAGATAAAATAGTGCTTATTACAGTTGTAGACCAGAATTCAAAATAATACATGTTGAACGTAGACAACAAACCAGAGTAAGAATGTTACAATTGCGGCAAATTCATTGTTGAAAAGTCAGAGTGTGTCTAATTTTACAGGAAATGTAACATATATTTAGTATATTTAGATATAGCCCCCACTTTGCCATTGACTGACTTTGGACCAATATCAGAAGATTTTTGTGGGGATAACATTGACTGAATCTGGTGAGATACAAATACAGGGAAGAGTGTAAAACATTCACAACCTTGAGCTAGTTGATGACTGGATAAATACACATGTAATGATGCAATAATTATGTTGACTTTTATCTGTTTTTGTTCTAAATATCATTGCCTGCCCCTGAGCACTATAAATTCAGTAAGTAGTTTAAGACATAACAGTGTTAAGAAATTATAGTAGAAATAAAAAAAATATTGAGATGATGAGCATAACAGAAGGAGATTTAAAAAATACATTTTGCTGCAATGCTAAAAAAGTGGTGAACAAACCATTACAGCAATTCTTAAATTGAAAAAAGAAGTGACATGTAGAGAGACATTAAATTTTTAATGTTCCATAAAGATGAAACCAATAGAGCTAAACCAGGGCTGTCAAACTGCTGGCCGGCGGGCCAGATGCATTATAGAGAAACCGCACCCACCTGATTGCTGGCAATGGCAAAAAAGTCGTGATATGTTGCAACACGTCACATGATGTTGCAAGTTTGACACCCCTGAGCTAAACTGTTTTCTAGCTGTGGCAGTAAAATAATACAAACAGGACAACATAAATTCAGTCAAATCACTGGTAATGAAGACAGATGACCTTAAAAAAAATTCTTCCCAAATTAAGCTAATTTTGTGATATAGCTGCTGATATGGTTTACAATCGGCTACTAAATTACACAGCTGACACCTGTATAGACATGACTGTGATTCAGACAGATGTGTTGAGAAAGTTATTGCTTGAAAAACTTCGCTTTATGATTAATACATTGAAATATTTAGACTTACACTCTTACAAAATAGGTTGCATTAAATTTATTACCAGTTTTGAAAAAGCGAGTAATTTGTTTATTGAGTCTATGAACCCACTTTGAATGCAAATTTTAAAAGGTTGGTATTTAGATGATAATAACTATACTGAATATGCAACATTGATAATCATAATAAATGGAATACGTATTTTGAAAAAAACTTTAACATGTTTCTGGCATAACTTTAAAATATATTAAAAAATTAATGTCTTAAATCCTTATATATAAGTCCCTTACAAAACACCACTGTTTTACTGGTTTCTGGAATTTTGCCAAAAGCACATCTTTAAAAGAAATGGCCATATGTGCTGGCCTCTTTAAAAAACAGCTGTGTGAGCCTAAAGTCATACTGTACTAAAGTCATAAGTTCTTACTTATTGTTTCCAGCAGTAAAAAGAAAGATTATTATCTTCAAGGAGAACATTCTTTTAAAATTGAATTTTTATCCTTAAAATTGGAATAAAAACAACTGTTTTCCTTAAAGAAGCAGCACACTTTCAAAATATGCTATGGATAGCTAAGTGAATACACAACGCTAAAGCCTCTAAAAGTTCCAGGAACATGTAAAAGTCTTCAACTCTCCCCAAAAGAACCACACACATACAAGATCCATTGAGCCTTACTAGAAAGTTCCAAAGTTAGACGCTATCATGGAAAAAGTCCTGTGTTTTAACATGCATCTTTAACACACTTAACACACAAGCCACATGGAGTGGGAAAAGTGATTCAGGATTTCAGAATTAAGCACTTCAAACAATGAATGCTACCCCCCAATCTCTACTTTCCATCCCATCAAGGAGACTGTTCTGGATTTAAACTGTTGCTAGAAAATGACGGTAGTTTGAGTGTGAACAGCAACATAAAACTGAATCCTGACTAATTCAGTACAATTACCCAACAGCACTGACCTGGAATCAAGGTGTCACCTAGATGAGGTATTACTGAAAACGAAGATGTAGAATTTGGGAGTTCTTGAATCTACTTGTTTAAAACTTAGCTATGAATATGCTCACTTTTGTGCAATGCAGCAAGGCAGGGTAACTCTGCCTACTAATACGGCAAGAGTAATGTACGCCTTCTTTAACACATGTAGCCTGCTATAATGTCCTTTATAGAGGCCTTTTTTTTTATTAAAAATTTTTAAGTTTTACAAAAAAAATTTCCCTCCCCCACACCCTCCCACCCCTCCCCCGATCATCCCAGAGCTGAATACAGGCTTAATTAAAATTTTTTAAAAAGAATCTTAAAACACATATAAACCATAAACAAATCTAAATACATTAATTAAACAAATTATAAAATAATTAACAACAATATGTAAAAAAAATACAAGAAGAAAAGAAAAAACAGAAAAAGAAAAAATAAAAAAGATAAAAAAAATATCTATGAAATATCTTAAACTTTAATTATAAATTATTCAAAAACTAAATAATATTTTCTTATATCCAACTTATATTGTATAAAATCTATCCATCTTTTCCATACCAGGAGGTACTTCTCCTGCGATTGATCTTTCAAGAAAGCCGAAATCTTTGCCATTTCCGCCAAATAAGAAACTTTAAAAAACCATTCTTGCAAAGTAGGCAAAGATTCCTTCTTCCAACATTGCCCTACTAACAACCTGGCCGCTGAAATTAAATTTAATATCAATATAGTCTCTTTACTGTCGCAATCAGAAACAATACCTAACAAAAACAATTGTGGGGTAAATTTTATCCTTCTTCTAAAAATTCTTTGAAAATTCCACCATATCTTAATCCAAAAAGCTTTTATATTTTTACATGACCACCAGATATGGTAATAAGTAGCATCCAAACATCCACATCTCCAACATTTAGGCTGCAAGTCAGGATACATACGAGACATTTTTTGTGGATCAAGGTGCCATCTATAAACTTTATAGAGGCCTTTTGATCACCTTTAGAAAATTAAAATTTCTGGCTCAGCCTGGCTGCATACAGGAAATTCAACCTTGTTCAACAGCTGCATGGCTTCCTAGTTGTTTCATTCCAATTTCAATTGTTGCTGATAATTAAGGCCCTGAATGGTTTAGATTCAGTCCACACCCTGTTCTCCCATTCAAATCTACTGGTTAGTAACATCTTCAAGGAAATCAGATTGTTGGAACAGCCCCAGAAAAAAATTTCATTCAGGTTGAGACTAGAACATTTTAGAGCAGTGGTTCTCAACCTGTGGGTCGGGACCCCATTTGGGGTCGAACAACCATTTCACGGGGGTCGCCAAACAAGGCTGTCCGCCATTTTCCCCCCTTTTCTTTGGCCACGCCCCTGGCACCCAGTGATGTATAAGTGGTTAGGGGTCACCACAACACGGGGAACTGTATTATGGGGTCGTGGCATTAGAAAGGTTGAGAACCACTGTTTTAGAGAACCAAATCTGGCTTTGGGACTGCTTTCCAAAGAACGCCATTTCATGAGTGACGATTCAGAAAGCTATTTTGTATGCAGGTTCAGTTTAACATTTTAACCTGCCTGTTGTATTATTTTCATGTATATTTTTCATTCAGGTTTTGACAG